TTCTGTAAGCCTTCACCTGAAGTACAATTAAAAAAAAAAATCTAAAAAAAAAAAAAACCCCCCTGCTATGACTCACTTGAACGTATTAATCACTTCAGCCCACCCCTTCTTGTCAGTTTTTTGGAGACACCAAGGCTGACTGCTCAGCATCCCACACATAACATCCTCTGCTGTAATTTAAACCTAGCCTTTCACTCCTAGGGACTGGAAAGACTTCGTTGTTGTTGTTGTATGCCGTTAAGTCGATTCCAACTCATAAAGACCCTATAGGACAGAGGAGAACTGCTCGATAGGGTTTCCGAGGCTGAAATCTTTACAGAAGCAGATCGCCAGGTCTTTTCTCCTGTGGAGCCACTGGTGGGTTTGAACCACTGAGTGCTTAACTATTGTGCCACCAGGGCTCTTTGGAAAGACCTTAGAGACCACCAAGTCCAACCCCATCATGATAGAGATAAGGACACTGAAGCCAGGTGAGGGAGGGGTGGCTTTTCCAAGGTCACAGAGCCAGTCAGTGGCAGAATCAGACTTGGTCATGGGTCTACTGAGGGACAACCAGGCATGGGTTCCATCCCTAGAGAACCCAAGCTGGCACACTGGCCAGCTTCTCTCCTCCAGAGGCCCAGGGGCCTGGTGCTTACTAAATCTTAGTTCCTTCTATCCATGTGCTGAGGGTAACTATAGCGATCCCATATGAGACCCTCCTGAAAGCCTCCAACCCACTGCAAACACTCCTCGATTTTCCTGATTAACCCACTGCATATCTATGTCCATGTATTTACCTAACTCTTCCAGAACCTATTGTTTTTCAGCCTGCACACCCCTTAGAAATTATTACTCCATAAAGTTTACTATCCATTAGGATAAAATGATGCTCTTTTATTTATTCCATGGTACAAATGATTAATGTGCTTAGCTGCTAACAGAAAGACTGAAGGTTCAATTCCTCCCAGAGGTACCCTGGAAGAAAGGCCTGGTGATCCACTTCTGAAAAATCAGTCATTGAAAACCCTATGGAGCACAGTTCTACTCCAACACACATAGGGTCACCACGAGTCAGAATCCACTCAACAGCAGCTGGTACTTTATTTATCCTAAAGCTGCACTGTTCAAGGAACCAGGGGTGTTCGCTAGATCTAGAATGCTTCCATTTGATAAGGAAGGATGTGCTCAGCCTCAACTCCCACCCCACTGCCTTCAGGGATGTACTGACCTTGATCATATCTCCTCAGAGCTCATCTTTCCAGAGATGAAAGTCCTAATCTTTCCACTCCAGCCCCAAACAAAAGATAGTATTAACTACAATGGTGTAAATGATAATAAAAATACTTTGCTTCTGCAGTAGTGTTTTCTACTCTTTAAGGTACTTTCGTATACCTTCTTCTGTGATCACCACAGCTCTGTGGGGTGATGAGGGCAGGGATCCCTCTTCCTAACTGATGGACACAAGGCAACGTGTGTCCTGGAGTCATGCTGTGAGAAGGGGTTTTCTGGCTCTCAGCCCAATGTGCCTTCTACCCTCTCCACTCACTGCCTGGCCCTAGAAGAGCTCAGCAGAGAGGACAGAGCAGACCCAAGCCCCCGGCCCACTTGCCTTGGTGAGGGCTGCGATTCTCTGGGCCAGCTCAGCCTCTACCTCCGGCAGTGTCTCTGCCTTGCGCATTGTCTGCTGCAGCTTCTGCTCAGCCACCTCCAGCAGCTCCTGTAGGTGTCGGGCCTTCTCCTCACACTAGGAGAGTGAGGGCGGGGAAGTAGTTCTGGAAGGAGTACTAAAACTCCTCCCTCCTCCCCCATCTTGCCTCAACCTCAGCCTGCAGAGGACAGGTGACAGGTAAGGAGCAGCACGGGACAACCTTGGTTCTGGGCTGCCCAAGATCCCTGACTCACCCTAGACGATGCTTCTCCTTTCCCAAGGTGACCTTCAGGACCCCAGGGACTCCTGGGCCACCAAGGAAGGTTCCAGCACAGTTGTCAGGATCTCCAGGGTTAAGCACAATACCCCCCCTCCCCACCTGGAAGAGTTACCTGACGGTGTAGGGACTCCTTGTTGGCCAGCTCGTTCTCCAGCTTGTCGTTGAGGTCATGGATGGACGTGGCCTCGCGCTGAGCAGCCAGGTAGCGCTTCTCCAGTGTGGTGATCCGCTCCTCCATGTCCTCCTTCTGGGCCAGAGCCTGGGTTGGAGGGGAGGGGACAGGAGGGAAAGTCCCAAGCTCATCTGCCCCCATCCTGTCTGTACCTCCCACCAACACCTGTGCCTTCTCCACGCTCTCCTGTCAGCTTCTGACCTCATCCCACCCTCCGAGTTCCTTCCTACATTATTGTCATTGTTGTTGTTAGCTGCCACTGAGGTGATTCTGACTCGTGGCAACCCCGCATGTGCAGACTAGAACTGCTCCATAAGGTTTTCAAGGTTGTGACTTTTCGGAAGCAGACTGCCAGGTCTGTCTTTTAAAGAGGCTCTGGGTGGGTTCGAACTGCCAACCTTTGACTAGTAGTTGACCGCTAAACTGTCTGAGCACGCAGGGACTCTCCTCTCTACACTGGACCCCACCTAGTGTTCACTCTTACACTCCCGGCCCCGGCCTGGCCCTCCCTCCAAGCCCAAGCCACTGCCCTCCTGAATGCCAAATGCCTTGCACCCAGCGAGGCCACCCAGAGCAGGCCGCGCCCTCACTCACCTCACGGAGGTCCCGCTGATGCTTGCTGCTCAGCTCCTCAGACTTGATGAGGTCCCTGCGGGCCGTGCCCAGGTCCTCCTCCAGTTCAGTCACAGTTGCTGTCAGGGTTACCAGTCGCTCCCGGGCCTGGCTCAACTCAAAGTTCTGCTTCTCCAGGAGCTCCTGCAGCTCTTCGAGCCGGCCCGCTTCGTCCTCCAGGGACAGTGAGCCACCAGTCAGACATTGGACCCAGGGTGTCCACTCCCCTGCCCTGCCCCAGGGAGATGGGAGGAGGGACAGCACTCCCAGAGCAGGTCACAACCCTGCCCCCATGTCAGAGCACACCTCCGTGTACGCCTTCTGCCCTCTGGGCCAGGGGCTCACTCCAGACAATGGGCAAACACTCTCACTTTCCTATCTATATCTCTTGAAAAACACTCATTTCTAGCTTTACCTGCTATCTCAGCTTGCACAGTCCAGAAAGAGGCACGATTAAGGGGAGCAAAGGCTCAAAGAGAGAAGGAATCTTGCCTGAAGTTGATACACAAGGTAGATGGCACCTAACAATTCAAGCTGGACAAGCAAGTTATGCGCCTAGCAGTGTACTGGGCACTAAAACAAAAATCTATAGATTTCTTTGCAGATAGGATGAGGGAAAGAAGAAGAGAGAAGTGGGAATACTGGAGAAGGCTCCATATTTAACTCAATCAGTTACTCTACTGAACCAGTGCAAGCAGGACCCCCACCTCCTATCTTGGGGAATATGTGCCCCCTGCTATTCAGCTGCCCCATTACCCACCTTCCATAGGCGTTTCGGTGCCAGCTCCACGGTCCCCTCCTCTTCTGGCACTCCGTCCCGAACCCCTGCTCCCTGCTGCAGGGCAGACACCTGTAGGGCACACCCCAGGACAATGAACCAAAGAAAAGAGAACCTCGTAAACATTCCAGACCTTTCTGAGCCCCCCGCCTCCCAGACAGAGGTGGCGAGCCTAGCCTTGGCTACCAGTCTCCACCCAAGACCGTGGGGATAAAATGGTTGAGGAAGAGAGTGGGGCAAAGAAGTAAACCAGCCTGGGCCTCCAGGAGCTGCTGTCTGCAGACAGAGGGTGGGCAGCCAGCTCACCTGCTGGTGGGCACCTGCCAGCTGCTCCTCCAAGGTGGTAACTCGCTCCAGTGCTGCCCGGAGCCGCTCTCGCACCTGTCCGAGGTAGGGGGAGATGGAGGAAGAAAGGGGACCCACTGGGCTCAGGCTGGAGGGGCCTGGGCTTGGTCTACCACATTTGGGCACGAGGCAAAGAGAAGGGCATTCCAAGAGGGAGGGAACCTGGAAGGAGGACCACAAAATGAGGCCAACGGTAGGCGGGAGCCAGTTCCAAAGCTAGAGGGCAGTCTTCCCTAAAGACAGGATGTTGGAAGCTCAGAGCAGGGACACACAGAGGCCCAGGAAAGCCTGGCTGTATGGGGACCAAGCTGCAGCCCGGTACCTTCTCATCCAAGGCCTTATGGTGCTCAAACAGTGACTTGAGGGCCTTCAGCACCTCCACCTCACTGGAGACCCCTGAAGGTGACTGGGCCTGGCGCTTCACCACTGTCATCCGCAGTGACCGCTCATGGCGGGACACCAGGCATTCCAGGTGTTCCAGAAGCAGCTGGCAGGGAACAGGGGAGGGAGGACGGGTTGTAAGCAGGTGCCCCAGGATATAAGCAGGGCCACATGGTCACCTAGTAGGTACTAGCACAGCCACACCGTTGTTCAAATGTTGAAATGCCTCCACGCTATTGTTGTTAGCCTCTGACTCATGGCGACCCCGTGCACAACAGGATCGGACCATTGCCTATAGGAGTTGGTAAATTACTGCCCCAAATGAATGCCCACCTCAAACTGGCTGCCCTGGCCTCTGCCCAAGACCCCAACCTTCCCACAATCCAGCAACTGGGTGAAAAGTCTAGCACTGGTGGTTAAACGATTTAAATATAGACAAGAAAGGGTAACAATGGGGCTGGACATGCCTGCCCTCAGCCATACCTGCTCCCTCGATCAAGTTGTCCCCACCTCACTCACACACACACACACACACACACACACACACACACACACACACACACACACACACACACCCCAGGTGTTCTCCACTTACCCTCGTGTTATTCCGTTCTGCTTTCAGCTCTGAGATCTCTTCCTCCCGCTCTAGAAGCTGCTCCCGACACATGCTCAGCTCCCGGGTTAAGGTGGCAAATTCCTGAAAAATCCCAAGGCCCCTCAGTGCTGGAGGATTCACCCCCTAAGGAGTGTCCTGTACCCGGAAGTCAGGGGAGGGATCCTCTTACCCATCCCATAAAAATCCCTATCCATCCATATTGCATGGATGTGTTAGGAATACAAGGACCAGGGTTGGATATAAGAGTGAGAAGTCAGTGAGTCCGCTCTGCAGCCCCTCCGCTCCAGCCACCCTGTGTCTGATCATTTCCTTCCTCCCACTTTGCATTTTGGTTTCCCTGGCAATTCAATGAAATTTCCCTTTGGAAGCTGAGGGAGGGGAGTCCCGCTTCTGGTGTGGGGTAGTAAGGTCCAAACAGAAACAATGGAGAGTCAAGGGGAAAGAGAAGGGGGCTTTGAAGGTAAACTCTGAGTGAGTGCCCTAGGGAGCTCTCTTCTACCCCCTACCAGAGCTTTGCACGCTGCAAGTGGCCAGAGACATCAGAGCTAGTTGGTGGACTGACAGGTCCACCTCCTTGGGAGCAAGAGCACGTGTAGACCTGCCCCAGCCAGCCAGTGGGTCAACCCTGGCTTCCTGGGAGCCCCGCTCATCAGGCCAGAGCTACACCCCAGCACCTGAGGTCATGGCACTTGCCCTGGCTTTACCAAATACCCTTTTGGAGGGGGCCCTGTCCCACACTTCCAGGCCCAACACCCTCAGAGACCTTTCCAGCTCATCCTCCGTCAGGACAAACAGACAGAGGTGAGAGGCTGACGCCCACAGACCCATGCCCAGCACATCCGACTTATCTAATTAGACATTGCCTCATTCCAGAAAGGTCTTCAGATGAGTGGTTCATTCTCTGTGGACAGCCAAGGTCTGTAATCGCAGCCTAAACTGGAGCCTCCCTCACAGACCAATGACTTGTAACCAAGGAAGAATTCCCAAAGCAATCCTCTCCTATCATTCAGATCAGGCTAAGGGCTGTCAGGACGGTTGTGGGAAGGGGACAAGGAATCCAGAGATGCCACAGCCTGGGAAGTGGCTGACCTCTGACCCCGTTCCTTGATTACTGCCTTTCTGTCAAGGCCATGGCCAAAGGTTGTCAAGCATCTCACCCTTGGAAGCTTAGGCCTGGGCTCAATGCTGCTTCACCTTCAGCTTACACACATGTGTGCGCACACACGCACATATGCACACACACGCATACATGTACACACACATGTGCATATACACACCCACATGCACACACACTTGTACCCACAGTCAGGACTTGAAGGCACACCCCCAGCCCCATGCCATGACACCACCAACAAAGGACTGGTGCTCTCTCCTCCCCGGCCCTCAACTTCAGCGGCCTGCCTGGCCTTCCCACCCCAGGACACCTCCCCACTGCCCAACTCTAACCCATATGACACACTGCTGCCAGAATCCTCTCTCAAAGCACAACACTGTCCTCCAAGTTAAATACAAACCTCTTATCCTGGGTTTCAAGGCCCCAGACCCATCTTTCCAAACCCCTCTCATGGTTCCTCTCCATGCACCTAAGGCCCAGTCAGTCTAGGTCACTTGCTGATTCCAAACACTAGCAAGTTCCTAACACCACATCTCTGTTCAATGGGCTCCCTCCTTGGGAGAGCCCCAACCCTGCGCCACCTCCTGATAAAATCACACCCATCTCTCAAAGCCCATCTCAAAGGATACAGCCTTGTGTGGCTTTCCCAGATACCCCAGCTGGAGGGCTCTCTCCCTCCTCTGAAAGCTGCTTTGTACGGTGGCAAAGAGCACTAGATCGGGAGTCCATCATTCAACCCCCAAAATCTGTGAGCGTCTACCATGTGCCAGGTTCTGTGCTAGCTAAGCACTGGGATACAGCAGCAAGAAGACATAACCCCTGCCCTCTCGAAGCTTCTAGCGTGAGCAGACAGGCAGGCATGGGATCAAAGTTTAGTTCTGCCATCCCCCTAAGTTGTGTGACCTTGGACATGCTACCGAACCTCTTTGAACCTCAATTCTCTAATCTGTAAAACAGAGAAATGGTCCTACCTCAAGTGTCCCTGTGAGGTGTAAATGAGTCGAGATACAGAAAGCACTTACCACAAGCCCATCAAAGGCAGCTATTTTTATGACTGACACTGGGTTTAACAACCCTTTTGGGCCTCTCATCTTCCTCTGTATTCTCTTCATCTGGATTCTTGTTTATCCCCTGCTAGTCTGTGAGCTCCTTGGGAAAAGGGAATGGCCCATTCACTCTCGGGCTTGTTCAGAGCCTCGTGCACCCCAATTCCTCACCAGGGCCCCCCATGCTTATCCATGAAGCGTCACAAGACTCTGCTCCCATCACTTCTGAGCTCTGGGAAAGAAACTCAGCCACCCAGGCCTAACCCTGACTCTTTTCCCCCACACAGGGAAAGGAGCTGAGTCGAGCTGTTTGGCTCCTCAGGGCTGCCTCCCCAGCACCAGCAGCCCACCAACTCAGGGTGGGCTCTGCAGTCTGTGCAATGCCCGGTAAGAAAGCCGGAAAGGGTAGGACCGTTCCTGCCGTCACCATGCACACTGTGGTCCCAGACAGACAGACGCTGCTCCTCCGTAGGCCTGGCTACCAGGCTGAGTACACACCTTCTTTGACAACCAACAGGCAGAGGGGCCAGGGACGGATAACCCAGGTTCCTGCTTCCTTCTAGCATGCATTTTGCCCTGGGGTGTCTACCAAAAGGGTGATAAGTAGGAAGCAACAGAGCTCCCAATCAACAAGGTGAAGCAGAAAGTATGGTGGGGAGGTAAGACTTATAGCCTCTGGAGGCCTGGGTTCAATTCCTTCCTCTACCATCTGCTAACTGGGTAGGCATGTGCATTTACTAATCTCTGCAAGTTTTCATTTTATCGCTTTTAAAACGCACATGGTGGTTCATAGGTATTGTGAGAATTTAGTGAGATGATCCACGCAAAGTGCTTAGTACAGTGCCTGTCGCATAGCAAGTTCCAATAAATGATAGCTATATGTGGCACAGTGGTTAAGAGTTTGGCTGCTAACCAAAAGGTCAGCAGTTCGAGTCCACCAGGCGCTCCCTGGAAACCCTATGGGGCAGTTCTACTCTGTCCTATAGGGTTGTTATGAGTCAGAATCGACTCGACGACAACAGGTTTCATTTTGGTTATATGACTGCTAAGGAGCCCTGGTGGTGTAGTGGGTAAGAGATTGACTGCTAACCATAAGGTCTGTGGCTCGAACCCACCAACACAGGAAGTATCAATAAATGGTAGCTATATGATTGCTAAGGAGCCCTGATGGCACAGTGGTTAAAAGACTGGTTGCTAACTGTAAGGTCTGCAGTTCGAACCCACCAGCTGCTCTGTGGGAGAAAGATGTGGCAGTCTGTTTCCATAAAGATTAAAAACCCAAGCCACTGCCATTGAGTCGATTCCAACTCATAGTGAACCTATAGGACAGAGTAGAACTGCCCCATAGTGTTTCCAAGGCTGTAATCTTTACGGAAGCAGATTGCCACATCTTTCGCCCAAGGAGCAGCTGGTGGGTTCCGACCGCCGACTTTTCGGTTAGCAGCCAAGCACTTCAACCACTACGCCACCAGGGCTGCTTCCATAAAGATTACAGTCTTGGAAACCCTATGGGGCAATTCTGCTCTGTCCTACAGGGTTGCTATGAGTCGGAATTGACTCGAGGGCAATGGATATACCACAGCCGGTAACAGTGTTGCTGAAGAGCTTGAGATGTGGTGTCAAGATACCCAGTTTCTAGATTCAGCTCTGCCTATAATTTGCTATGTGACATCTCTTGGTTTTTCAACTATGCAATAAGGAAGCCAGACTAGATGATCTCTAAGGCTTCTCCTATCTCCATTTCCTATGATTTCTCACTCACTCCCACCTCGAAGAATAGGAGCAGCCGGGCTGAGCTTTCTTTCCAGTCTAGGGTGCCACCTTCTGGTCACCTGGGCTCACTGCAGTTGACCACTATGCCTGCATTTTCTTCCTGCATCAAAAGGCCATCCGTTTCTCCTGGTGAAACCAATTCCAGGCTGAGGCGCTTGGGGGTGACAGGGGATGGATTTATGTTGGGAGATGAAAGACAGCAAATGCTCTGTGAATGCCAACTGTTGATATGCAAATTGATGCAAGTGAGCTGAGGGCCCAGAAGAAGCAGCTCTCCGTCAGGGCTCGGGGAGGGAAGGGGGATGCAGAGATCTGCACTGTCAGGCCTTACCTGGGGGAGGGCGGAGTTAAGGTGGCGCTGGAGCTGGTCCCGCTCATGCAGGGCGTCCTGGAGCCGGCTCTGCGTGGCTGCCAAGGTCTCCTGACTCTCCCGGAGGGACTCCAGTAACTTCTCTCGCTCATCCAGCATGTTCACCATCAGCTGTTCAAAGTTGGCGTCGGCATCGGTGCCATGGGGAGGCCCCAGGGGGTCACCCTCGTTGATTGTGGGCATCACCTCACACATGGTTGGGGGTGGACAGGGCCTTCTCAGTGTCGGGGGACAGGGAGGGGTTCACAGGGTTGGCACCTCCAGTGGGACCCAGCCCGTGGGTCTCAGAGCGGGCAGTGCCAGGTGGGTGGATGGGTGGACAGGGGCTTCTCCCATGGCATCAGTTGCTCTTGCTCTGGAAGGGGCCTGGTGCCCGCAAGGCCCCCGCGGAATGCAGCCAAAAGGCCTCGTTTAACCTCTCAGGGCTGGGGCTGGGTGCCCTGTGTCCCCAGACAAGCAGGCAGCAGCCAAGCGTGGCCATGACAGGCACCGATGCCAGGGCTGAAAAAGTGCCCTTCTCTTAAACTGAGCGCTGGAGCCTGGCAGAGTTCCAGCTGGGTCTAGCGACACCCATCGTTTCTTGAAGGCAGTGAGTCCAGCCTGACCAGGTCTGTGGGAGAAAAGACTGCCGTGAGGAGCTGCCGAAAAAGGGCATCAGGGGAGGGGCAGGGGGAGGGAGAGGCAGGGACCTGGACCCGTGCGGGGAGAGGGAGGTGCTGGTGCAGGCCCCTACTCTAGGCTTACTCACTCAGAGGGCACCTTCCTTAGTTCTGTAGCCTCTGCTGCCTGCAGCCCCTGCTCCCCACCCCTCCCCTCAGCTGTCAGAAATGCAGCCGCAGTGGTTCCCCCACCCACGTGGCTTGCTGGCCAAATATAGAAATGATTCAGTCAGCGGTAGGGGAGCAGCCAGCAGGCTGCCCAGAGTCCTCCAGAGACCTGGGGGTGGGAAGGTGCGAGAGGACAAAATGGGGTCTCTAGCCCCTCCCCCACACTCAGGCCAAGGCAAGTGCAGAAGGGGTTAACAGGCTCCTAGGGGTTAAAGGGCTCTCAGGAATCCACACAGGTTGGACTCCCGCAATCACAGGAAACAGAGTAGCCTCTGCCCTGAACGTTGGCACAACACAGCTCCTTAGAGAGGCCCTGGCTAGGCACAGGGACAGGCCACAATGCCCATCACTAAGGGAAGAGGCGCTGGCTGAGTCAGTCCCCATTTCTGAAGCCTGCCAAGGAGCAGCACGCTCAGGCCTGGCAGGCAGCAGCCTTCCACGCTGAGCACACAGCCCACCTCCTCTGGGCTGGAGCAGGGACCAAGGATGAGAAGAAGCCCAAGGCTGAGCAGGTGGGGGCTACCTGCTCACGGCTGGGAATCTGATCCCTCTGTGTTATTAGCCACTGCTGGCTCTGCCAGAGTCACCATGGAGGGGGTTAGCACGTGCACAGCCCGGACCCAGTGATGCCTGGAGCCTGGCACAGGTCGGGGCAAGGGAAGGTGCAGTGAGGAAGGCACCACACAGTTGAGTACTTCTCTGCCTATTGCCAGCTTCCACCTTCCGTGGCCATGATGGAAGGCCACAGCTCTAGTTTTCAGAGGGAGCTCTCTTCCACTCCATGACAGAAGGGATGTGAAGGTCCAGTGCAGTGATGGGCACAAGGACATGCTCCGTGATGGGACTTTCCTTCCTCCCCCTCCACCATGTGAGAGACACGGGGCAGCTGCCCCTTGGGGCTGGGAATATCAGGCAGACTGGGAGGACCAGGGTGGACAGGAGGCATGGGGCCAGAGTGACTGAGAGGTCAGACTCTGGAACCCACCCCCACATGTAGCAAGGCTGAACTCAGCAGGGGAACCAGAAAAGGGCCAAGCCTCTCCCTGCCCCCGGAATCTCCCTGTCACCCCACCCCACGGTGCTGAAATTGGGGGCGTTAAGAGGGGGCTGAGAAGGAATGTGGGGCCTGGATCAGATGGAAGTGAGAGGGTCAACCTGAGGACTGCGGGACCTCACACCATCAGCCATTCCTAGAGGGACCTAGTAGTTCAAGCAGGCGTGTGGGCAAACACACGCAGCGCACACACGCACACACCACAGAGACAGACCCAGGAACATGGAGACTAGGGCATACACATACATGGCCACACACATGCTCCCAGACATAGCAAATGGACATGAACCCTGGTCAAGAGGATCCTTTCCCCAAGCTGAACAGCCACAGTGGAGGGCAGGGTCCCAAGAGGCTACAATGCCTGGTCTGCACCCCACCCACCCCACACCACTGCTGCCAGGGCAGCCCACACACACCTCCCTGCCCCGCAGAGCAGCTGGAACAGAGGGGAGGGGCTGTTATCCCAGGCTTGCCAGAGCTGCCACCTCACTGATGCTAATAACAGCAATTACACACACACACACACACACACACACACACACACACACACACACACACACACACACACACACACACGAAATGCAAGACCAGCAAGGAGGCCAGGCTGGAGCCTGGGAAAGAGGCCCCTGGTGAAGAGGGTGCTCCAGAGCTCGGTTACCCGGGGAAGGACCTCAGCCAGTCACATCCCCAGGCAGCATTGGGTGTAGTGGAGAGAAAGGCGCCCAGAGCTTGGACTTAGGAGGCCTGGGTTGCAGTTCTGCCCCAGACCAGCTGGGTGAGCTTGGGCTGGCCACCTTACTGAGGCCTCTGCTCTAAGACGAAACCTATGACCCCTGCTTTGCCACCTTAGAGGGATGAGCCCATGGGGGAGCAGAGCTTTGAAAAATAGAAAGCATCCTACAATTGCAGGGGAGTACGGAGTCCCTGGGTGGTGCAAACAGTTAATGTGCTCAGCTGCTAACCAAAAGGCTAGAGGTTCAAGGTCACCCAGAAACACCTCAGAAGAAAGGCCTGTGATCTACTTCCAAAAAATAATTGAAAACCCTATGGAGCACAGTTCTACTCTGATGCATATGGTGTCGCCATGAGTTGGAGTAGAACAGATGGGCAACTGGTATTTTATGAATCACCTTAGTGTTGGACAAAGGTGGGCCTGAGGGTGGAGTTCTTAAACTTCCTTATGGAGAAGAGCTAGGGAAGTTTCAGGAAGGGAGAAGAGGACCTCAGGCTGCCCACTGGGAGCTTCCTTCCTTTCACAGCCTGCCCACACCCCTCACTGGTACAGTGCCTGCAAGTGGCTGCTCTGGGTGCTGGCAGCTCTCATCTCTGAATCACCTGGTGATTCTGGCAGCTGCCCTTCTCCAGCCTCCCTCCAAGCCAGGTGCCAGGTAGCAACTCCACTTCCCCTGGCCAAATGGCATCACGTGGAGCACGCTGAAGATGAGCCCAGAGAGGGGTGCCAGGCAGATGCCCTGGAGACAACTGGCCAGAACCTCCCGCCCTGGCCGCATGCACAGGCATAGTGGACAGAAGGGAGCTCCAGGACAGCCAGGTCGGGACACCTGGCTCCCGCTGGCTCCAGGGCTGTCTTTAAATAGCGCAATTATCATCTCAGCCTAGCAGCAGCCTCTTCAACTCCTGCACAATTTCTACATAACACTCACAGGTCCTGATACAGAGGCGAAAGCTGCTGGCCCCCAAAGCAAGCACTTGCAGGGGCCCTACCAGTGAGCAGTGTGGGCAGGCCGTGAAAGGGAGGAAGAGGCTCAGGAGACAGCGGTGTGAGTGTGTGTGTGACAGCGGGGGGCTCAGGCGGAAAGTAGGTCTCTGGGCTTTATAAACACGGAAAGAGGCAAAGTCAGAGGCATCTTTGGCTTCCTAAAAGTCACCCCATCCTCTAACAAACAGGAGGGATGTCTGATGCTCTGGCTGGCCACACACACACACACCAGGCTCCCTACTGCCCTAGCAGATGGCATGCCCCACCAGAGAGATCTGCAACAGCAAAGCTGCCAGCCCCACGGGGCCAGAGGGCCAGGGCAAAGCTGCTGGGTGCTGTGCTCATGTCTGAGTGGGTCATGAGCTGGGCCAAGAGGGAACCACAGGGGGGAGCCGCTTCAGAGCTAAGAGGCAGAAAAGGAGGACGGTCATACACATGCTCAGCTGGAAGAAGGGTGAAGGCCTGAGGAAATGGGGAAGGGGGTGGCCATTCTGGAAAATATAATGATTATGACAGCAGCTATGGTTTATCCACTATTTAACACGTGCCGGGCACTGTACTGTCAGTTGACATATATTAACATATTTGAATCCTCACAACGTCTTGAAATTGTTCCCATTTTATAGATGTGAGAACTGGGTCTCAAAGTCACGTACCCAAGTCCATACAGCTAGTAAGAGGAAGAACTAAGAGTCAATTCCCATTTGTCTGACCCCGAAGAAGGGTAGGGGATGAAGGACGAGGAGGCATGAATACGATTCCTTCAGACATCACACCTCCTCCAGGGAACCAAGGAACCTGGGCCCTTTGTGCCTCTCATCCAGGGTGATGGTGGCCCAAGGACAGCTCACCTTTGCCCTCTACCTCTCCTTCTCTAGCCTGGGAGAAAGTCTCTGCAGAGCAGCTGTCACGGGCATGAGGCGGCCACGTCCCCACAGGAAGTGACCTGTCTCCAAGACTCCATTCACCACCCACCCAAATCAGCCCAACTCCTAGCTGGCCCCATACCAAGTTCTAAGCAGTTCCCCCTGCTGAGTTCCCACTCCACCCCACCCCACACCCCAGTACAGACGGAGAACAGATACTCCCAGCCTCCCTCGCCCTGTGGGGTTTTCAGACACTATCCCCTGCAGTGGAGCTTAAGTCGTCCAGTAGCCCATACCCTCTCAGGCTTCCCACCTCTCCTCCCCTCTGACCCAAATGTGTCTCCTCCTCTCCTGTCCCCCTCTCTGTCCAGCTCATAACCCTAAGCCTTGCCCTCACTCACCCTCTCTTCCAAAAGCCCAATCCAGCCTCCTCCACAGCTACTCCCTAGCCGTTCTCACTGCTGTGCTCCAGGGGCCACCTCGATCGCTCATGTTCTTCTAGCAAGTTCCTCACCTGGCCAGCCTCTCATCTCCCTTTCCGTGTCAGTCCAATGGACTTCTCGTCATCCCTCTAAGTTCATCTCAAACACCACTTCCTCCATGAAGCCTCTTCTGATTCCCCTAATAGATGAGATTTGTCCTTCCACTGAACCAGCAAGGCTGTTTATCTATACCTCTCTCTATGGTACTTGGAATGCCTAGTTGGTGCAAATGTTTGAGCACTCAGC